TTGTCTGCTATTGGCATCCAGCACCAGCACTTTAACAACACAGTTAAGCAAAGAGAGAAAGAAAATAAGAAAACTACAATGTCACTGAAACTGAAACAAATTGCTTGCTCTCAGTTCAATTAAGAAGTTAGTTCCCCAAAACAAAGTAATTCATAGCGTCTATTCAAACTTCCCACATCTGCTTCAGGAAATGGACTTTGAAGGGGAAAACCCAAATAGACATATTTTTGAAATTATTTTAGTGTGGAATTTACTCAATTCTCAGCATTACTTCACTGCTCAAAACAGGGCATGAGGCTGAATGCTGTAGTAATAACCATATTTTTCTTAACTACCCAAAAACTAATTTTGTCAGTGCAAGCATAATCAGCATTACTTCACTGCTCAAAACAGGGCATGAGGCTGAATGCTGTAGTAATAACCATATTTTTCTTAACTACCCAAAAACTAATTTTGTCAGTGCAAGCATAAAGCCTTGTTTAGAAGAAAATCCTCAGTTAAGCCAACATGTTCTTGATGCAAAATCCACTCTCACCAGCAAGATTATCAAGTACAAGGCATGTGAACCTCCTGGCAAGCACTAAGAGAGCCTGAAGCCAGAAACCATCCAATTCAGGACTTCAGGGATCTGAGAGAATCAAACATCTATTTCTTATTGTATTTCAATATACTGAGCATCAAAACAAAGGTAGATCTTCTGAAAAAAAAACAAGTTTAAAGGGCAAATATGTTGATTTTATTGCCATGCTTGGTAAATTTTAAGATCAAAATATGTAAAAACTCATTCTGGCATTTAAAATAATCACATAAATACTTGTCACCAGTAATGTATTGGCACTGTTTCATAGCTACCAACCTGTTAAACCACTGACTGGTCTGGCAGGTTCACCTGGGGCTGCACTGAGAAGCAGRAGGAGCTGCTGGTGCTCGTCACACATACACCCGCCTCTTAGCGAGGAAGGGCGGTGAAGAAGGGAGGGGAGAATATTTTTTTGTCCTTCAGAGTTAGGCCTTAGAGTCCTTAGAGTTTGAAAGGGGAGAGAATAATATGAGAGGAGGGCAAGAAGGGGTACTCCTAACTTACCCTACTGGAAGCTGCAAATACCGTAAAAAACAAGCTCCTTTCTTTTCCTTTGGGAAAAGACAGGGTCTACCAGAGCCCAGCCTAGTACTCTTCTCTCTGCCTGCTTCTCAGGCTGATATTTGCCCTTGTGCAGAGATCTTCCTTTGGGTGTAGCAAATCCCTTTTGTGACATTTTGGGATCTGGAATTGGCCTTCTTTTGTTTTCCATGCTCCTTAACTTCAGTTGACTCATGTTTTGCTTTCACTTGCCCRAAGGATTCCTTGCCCACAGCAAAAGAGCAAGTCAAATTTAATGTAATTTGGAGTATGAATTTCCAGGTGGAGACAATGCCCCTTGAGTGCATATTGCAGGAGTCAGTTCTCTGGTCCATGCTTAAAACTGACATGTTTACTTTGCTTTGCAGTAAGACTAAATTGCTTTGTGTCAGTTTGTTTTTATAGCAACATTATATTAACTGTTCTACAGTAGAAACTATTTTTCAGAGGAAATGGAATGATATTTCTGCAATTACTTTTGATATTCCATTTACTTTCCAAATGGCTCTGTAGCAATACAAGATTTTTGTTGTTGAGGTTCCTTTCCCGAATGACAGCAGGAGATGCACGTGTCACATAAAAATTAATTGATACTAAGACATTATATTAATTTTTAAGGTCATCACATTATGTTTTAAAAAGAAACGTTTCCTTTTATTCAGCCTACTCGTGGAAGAATATGCAAAATACTCAAGCTAACAGATTTTTGTCAAATTCTGAATATTAAACTTAAATAATTTGGAGTCTTTGGTAACTGAAGACAAGTCCGTTACAAGTAAATGCAATGTACAAACATGTTTTCTGGTAAAATGATTAAAAATAAAAACCAATCAAAACTCCTGTTAAACACCATTAATAAAAATTAATGTTCTCAATTGGTTTTTAGCAGGAAGTGATCTTGGTCTGAGGCTTAGGCTGCCCTCTTGTTCAAATGTCTCCAGCTCAGAAGTCTGGGAGGTCTGCAGAAGAGCTAAAATATGTGGCCAAATCCTAGTTTGCTACCACAGRCCAATGCCAGATCATGTAGTGTCAGTGCTATCACAGATTTTGMACTTATTGGATGACAGCAGGGTTTAAAAGTGACCCAGCTCTGGATTTGAGGCAGGACAATTAGGAACCCTGTGACAGCTCTGAAGAAATCCAGGTGGAAAGTGGGACCAGGAAGAGATGTCCTTTCTTGCAGAGCTGGGAGCATGGTGCTTAGTTCATTTGACTCTGCTGGCAATGGGACTGGGTGCACAATGGAGCCAAGGCTGTCACTGCTGCCTCAGTTGCACAGACACTTGGTCCTGAGATGTCCCTAAGGTGTCCCTGGGTGGTGACTCCAATCACAAAAATGTTACATTCTAGAATTCCAGGGGCCTGAAAGAGAAAGTAAATTTCTAATCCAAGGAGTTTGTACTAAAAATGCAAATTACTTTGGCGAAGCACTACTTTTTGAATGGTTCCTCTTTTGCAAGCAAAACATCCATCTAGGAATATTTAGGCATTGATTCCAGAAAATTAATAGATATGATATCACTTGAATCAAGGCCCCTCACACTTTTTATTGTCTCTTTTCACACAGAGGAAGGTTTCCTACTTTCCAACAGCAATGTATCTGCTAATCATAGCAATCTGTGATGTGGAGCTTTCTTGGCAACCTAGCATCAAAGAAATCATCACAAAGTTTCAATAACTGAGAATTAATATCAGTCCTACCTGGAAATCAAAGGGTAAAAAGATCACAATCTAGGTCTAGTGCTAATGCAAAGCCTGATAGGTTTTCCAAGGAAGCAAGATAATTAAGATAATTTGCAATTGAAATCTTTTGAGATTTAGTTATTATACCCTGATATATACTGTTGTAAAATAGGAACCCAAATATAAGAGTCAYGAAATTTTCTGAGGAAAATACATGGTAGGTAAGGATGCCATTTTAAAGTGCATGAATTGAATGAATGTACTAAACACAATCTTAGCATTTTAGTACATATACTAAGATACAGGGATCTTATTTGGGTGTGAAAATGCAGTTTGGAAAGACTGAGATTGTATATCTCAGTGACATTTGAAAAAAAACAACTCACTGGTAATTTCTATGACTTGGGGTATTTCCCCTTCTAATACAAAGTGTTCTCTCAAACTCATAAGCATATGAATCTCTTTGACTATACTACTGTTCAATCTGCCTGCTCATAACTCAGCTTCTTATTCCATTATAATGCTTGAATGATTCACATGCAATGTTTCCAATCCACTTTTTCTATCTCGTGAAACTTTTTAACGAAATGTTAGCATTTGCAGGCACCAGATGTTTTGACATAAGGAGAAGCAATATGTAAATTTTAATCCATGGTAGGAACAATAGCCTGGAGGCACCTTCTTCTTATTACATGAATCATATACTTAACCACAATGTGGTGGATTATATCAAAATCATCACCACCCTGAATATAGAACACTTGTCTTGTGGTTGCCAATTAATGAAACTGATATATATTTAACTTGATAGGTAGCAGTGATTTAACCAATAAGCCTTACATACTTCACTGCTGCAGTCTCCTTTATAATTAAACTTTTGATCTGATTATTATCACCACAATCCACCACAATCACACCACCACAAGTTCTCCTCTAATCTCCCATTGGCTGTCACCACAAATGATACTGACAGYAAATATTTGTCTGTCAATCGCAAACCTCACTACTTTTAATCAAGCAGTGTATCACACATGGCTTTTCTAATCCCTGAAATAACTTCTGATTTTATTTTCTGATGTTGTTTATTTAATCCTTAAGTGTCTGAGTCTATAACAGGGTAAGTACTGGTTCTCTGCAAAGCAAACGGGGGGGCTCTCAGTCCCTTCACAAAGAAGCTGAGTACCTTTTATGGTCAAATCCCAAGTCTATAATAAATATGTAAAAAAGCAAAGCTTCTTTCCATAGATAATCACTGAACTTTAAATAATATTTATAATAATATTCTATTTTAATACTGATAGGGGTGTCTTAACRATTTGACAAAATAAAGAGCCTGAAGAAATCTTTAGTACAACAGAATATTTATCTGATGTATAGAAACAATGAAACTATGAACTATTGCAAAACTGTAGCTGAAATTTATACTACYACTCAACAACTTTTACATCATTTCATGCGCAGAAAGTACCAAATAGCTTCTAAAGAATGCAGCACTTTTGATATTAAGAATTCAAAATGAAATCCAAATCCTTACTTACTKCCTTAAGTGAGTATCTTTTAGTGCCAAATGCTACCTAATTATCAGCTTTAAAAAATGTTTTACATGTTAAAATACAATATTCTGTTTATCCTAGATTGTCTGGGGAACATCTAGTACATTAAAAGGTTTTTGTAGAGCTTCTTAGTGATTTAACTGATATCATCATGCCTGCTAGCAATTTTGCAACATTCTGAAAACACTTTCCATAAATCAAAGCCTTAGCAGCAGGAATAAGCAGATGGCAGGAGACCATATTAGAGAATGTATCAATTATTTTTATTAATGGGACACTACTGGATCATGATGTATCGTAATGGACTAAATGTTTAGCAGTTGTGAAGTGTTTTGTCTGTTAGTATCTCCGATGTTCTTTCTGGACGTTACTATATTGCCTTTTGGTGTCATTTTTTGAGGGTCTGGACAGAGAAGCTTCACAAGGGACATATAAAGAAATGTTTTAATTTCAGTCCTTTAATTATATTCATATAATAAACATAAAATGCCAGCAAGTATAAAATGTAATTGTAAAAAGATTGCATGTATAGTGCATAATAAAGTACATTCTGTCTGCATACAATGACTTAGAAAACAAGATACTATATGGTTAACAATGAAAAATAGCAATTATTATAAAAATATTCTACAGTCTCATAATAGCCATGTAAATGCCTTTACTTATCTAAAAGACTTAACATAATTTTAAATTACAATAATTTTACATCCTCCACTCATATATACAGTCCTATTAAATTCAGAAAGTATTATAATATCAATGTTCTTATTAAGATTAAGCAACTGAATTATATTTAGTTATTTTATTACATAAAGCAACTGTGTTCCTGTTTGTTAAAATTGTTTGCATTTGCTTTATCTTTTCACACTRTCCACACTATGCACAATGAAATAATTTAGTTTTCTGTTCTTAGTATAGCATCTATATCTGTGTCATGAATCAAACMGGATGTTAATATTTCAACTCCCTTTTCTTTTGTGTAATTATCAGTCCACTGTTTTGTGGATTCTGTARGAATATGTCCACCAGCTTTGAACAGCTGCTACTGGAAACACGCAATAGCTCCTCATTTAATACAGCTGGACAAAAATAGCCAGTTCTCCTACCCCCTGCCCTGCTTGAGGTCAAGATCTGCAAGACTTTAAATTCTTTTCTAGTCCCAGACCTACGGGCATATTATGCATAGCTTTCATGAGATTTCACTAAACAGATCTCTGCTGGAAGTAGCTAAAAAGTGTATTTTGCTTGCACCACATTTCAGCCCAAAAAAACTTGCATGGACAGCAAATAAATTCTTCCTGATGAAAAATGTCAGGATTTGTCCCTGTAGTTATAAAATCTCTTTCCTCTGCACAAGCTGGTAGGACTGGACTTGGCTCTGCCCTAAAAGTCCTCTCAGCTTCACAGCACTATCTCTGAGCCTGGGGTGGGAGGGGGAGTGTTTACTCCAGAAAGTCTGGGATACAACTTCCAGCACATGCATCTCCTAAACACCTGCAGTAGCAGTAGCACCTATTAATCCCCAGAATGTCCTAGATTGGTTTTACAATTTGCACCACCATTTAATTTCGAGGGTGAAGCTGTAATCCACGCTATWATTATTAGCTGAAATAGTAATTATGATGACTTTATACTAGAAAAAATGTAATGTTGGTGAAATACCATTGCCATAATAAATACCTACAGGCATTGATGCATTTAGTGTTTTGGATAAGGGGGCTGGGGGTTTTGTGTGAAGGAAGACAGCTTGACTATGTTTAATGATAGATGCAATACTGTACCTTGCAAAAAGAATATTGACTATCTTGGGTTAAGTTTCTCATGCAAGAAGAGAGAAAAATTCTGGTGCTTTAGACTGAAGCAATTGTCAGAAGAATGAAAATCAACTTTAAAAAATTTAATGGATGCACTATAATATTTTTTTAAAACAGTGCTTATAAAAGTGATGAAATTCAGGATGTTATTTAAAGTCAATATAGTTCAGAAGTATGGTCTAACTCACATGTAAAAGTTCAATGGGAAAATCATGTAATACATTCATATTTAATTTCTCTTTCTCCATTATGAGCAACCCACACTGGTGTATTTAAAACTAATGTAGTAGAAACTTCAGTACAAGGACAAATGGCATTTGATATCAACCAAATAACCCTTCCTTTCATCAGCTAAAATGGACAATATTCATACTACACTAGACATAATATAGGCATAAATGTTACTTTTAATTCATCATGTTATGTATGTCAATATTAGCAATTGTCTTTGGCAAAACTGTAGCAAAATAATTCCTCTTTTAATTAACCCAATTAAAATGGTGGTCAATCCTATATCCAGTCTTTGGTTAATACTTGTTTGTCTTTCTGATATGCTACAAAGGAAAACCAAACCAAGCAAACAAATAAAAAGAGTGACAAAAACACCAAATCAAAACAAAAAAAAATTACTGGAACCCTACTTGTTGTTATTTTTAGCCATGAAGTGGAGGGATTCAAAATCTCTTCTAATGGTCAGGTGAGCACTTATAGGTCATCTGGCATCCAAGTAGTTTGTACACACTCAAAGAAAACCTTGAAATTTCTAAAAGCATAAATATTCTTTTGAAATTGGACACACCATCATCTTTCATTGCCATCTGGATAYGATTTATTTTCCAGCTGCTAATTTTCCAATTATGAAGCTATTGTGACACTATTGGGGTTATTCAGGCATGTGCTATGGCCTGGGAGCAACAGAAACCTCACAATGACTTAGGAGGACCCAGGTGCAAAAAATAAAAGAGGTAATAGTAAGAAACAATTGCTCTAGTTTTGGATAATATGTTTAAAAAAAATTAAAATGTTCATGCAAAGAGCAATCCACTTTAATCTCATCTTCCTATTCCCAAACCTGTGATGCTTCTGGAGTGTGAGTCAGGCTCAGTGACAACAAGATTAATACACACTTTTGGAATCACATTTTGAATTATTACAGGACTTCTGTGGTCGTTTCAGCTGGGGTAGAGTTAATTTTCTTCACTGTGGCTAGTATGGGTTTGTGTTTTGGATTTGTACTGAACACAAAGATGTTTTTGTTGTGGTTAAACAGGGCCTGCTCAGAGCCAAGGCCTTTTCTGCTTTTAATACTGACACACTGGCAAGGAAGCTGGGGGTGCATGGGAGGTTGGGTGATCCTGAGCTGGGACAGGTGATCCAAACCAAACCAGGGARTGTTCCAGACCATATCCAGTCCTGTTCAGTATATGAAGTGGGGGGAAGAAGGAGGAAGGGGAGGCRTTTGGAGTGATGGTGTTTGATTTTGCAAGTCACTGCTACTTGTGATGGGGCTCTGCTCTCCTAGAAGTGGCTGAACCCCTGCCTACCCATGGGAAGCAGTAAGTTAATTCCCTGTTTTGCTTTCCTTGAATTTCCAGCTTTTGCTTCCCTTATTAAACTGTCTTTATCTCAACCCACGAGTCTTCCAGATTTCACCCTTCCAATTCTCTCTGCAGTCCCTCTGGCAGGGCAGTGACCAACTGACTACATGAGGTTTTGTTGCTGCCTCAACCGCTCCCGAATTATCTCTTGGCTTTGATTGAGGAAGGGTGATGAGGAACCTGTTCCAGTTTATTTTCCTGTGTTTTAATATTACAATTGGAATGATTGCCCTCAGCATTCTTCAGGAACATGCATCACTCTCCAGAATTTCACTACGGATAGAAGTGAGTTTTCTGAATGCTCCCTCCTAGCAAGCTAGTTACGAGATGTGGTGCATCACATCAGTGTTTCTGAGTTTGACGAGTCTTCCTTTACAGCTTTTCTGCAGTGAATCCAAAGCCAAATTTGAAATTAAATTATTGTTGTTCCTACTGTATACAATGGGAATCTTGTAATTTTCCTCTACTTCCRAATGGATTAAAAGCACACGTATGGATATAGTCCCTTTGGAAAACCTCACTGTGCCATCAAAGGACACTGAAAGTGTCATCCAACAGCACAGTGTTGTATCTCTGAATTCCAATCTCTTTCACATAAAAAAGGACACATTGAATATTCTTGGAATTAGCAGCTGACTTAGCACTGTTAAAAGTAATGCTTGTTTTAAATTGTGCTGATTTTAACATGGAGTTTCTGATCTCTCTTATATATCCAAACAGACTTGCTGCTGCAATGCTTTATCTTTGAGTTCATTTGAATCAGTCATTATGTTAGTTTCCATTTTTCTTCTGTGTCATGAAAAGATATATTAAAAAGAGTGTTCTTTTTCTACAAATGAAAGATTAAAAACTAATAGCATTCCACGGAAAGTTTAAKGGATATTCTCATTTTAAAGAGAAGTCCACACAGTTTAAACATCATGCTTACTTGTGTGAAAGCATTCCTATCTGGCTGGTTTATGTTTTAAAATCTGTAACATCTATACAGTTCCCAGTTTAAAAAAATTCTTTGTTGTTTCACATTTTGTAGAATTTTTAGTTATTAAAAAATAAAGAAATCAGCAAATGACTAAAACTCATATTTGTAGCAAAGAAAAGTGTAAGCAGATCGAAAAGAGTTTGAACACAGTTCTGTAACATGGGAATTCCTTTTGTGGTAACCATTTTCTTAGTACTGTAAAAATTCATGGAATTATAGTAAAAATATTCCCAATGAAGAGAGATTTGTGCAAATGTCGGCTGGGAAGAGAGGCTGATTTTGGGGCATGGTGTGAGTTCATGTCCTTCTTATTTTCCTGTGAAGTAAGGGCTGATTTAAACCTTGCCACGTAGTAATTGATTTTCACAGTGTCTCTCCTTATAATTATTTAAAATAAGAACAAACACCATGCTTACTCAGTCTTTTAGCAGGTGGTTTAGAGAAGCATGAGACCCTTTTTGCTTTTATAAATCATCTCCATCATCTGTGCTAAAGCTGCTTCTCCTGCTGCTCTCTTTGGATGCAGCTGGGGATGTGGAGGACAAGAGTGGGTCTGTTCCAAATGGTGACACTGTGTCATCCAGTAAGATTTCCTCCAGTCGTTGTTCTTCTTTCAAAGCCGCGCTGAAGGACAAATCCGTGAAGTGCGAAAGGGGATCGGAAAAGGCTGTAGATCCATCACAGACCTCAGAATTTTGTCCATGTACCAGAGGCATTTGTTGAGAGTAATCTACAGAGTTCTCCTCGGGATAGGACTGTTGCTTGATGACCTGTGCAGCTAAATCCACAGCACTGAGKGAAGACATGACTGGAAGGCCATGTGCTCGTGCCTGGATCTCCAGTTCCTAACATTTCAAACAGAAACAATTAGATAACAACCTTAAAAGACAAAACAGCCTCTTCAGAACAGTTGCAGAAAGTATACAAATCACGCGTGTGAAGTTATTATACCTTTTGCCCAGTTGTGGGATTAAATTTTAAAATATTAAATTTTTAATCGAAGAAAATTTGCCACTCAAGTGTTTTTATATCCCCATCTRTCATTAAGGAACTATTTTACAGGAGCAGAAGAGGTAGGGAAGCCTCTTTAAAACKATTGTATACTGAATCCAATGAAGGTAGCAGAAAAATGCTGTAACTTGATAGTTCATTATAAAACTGCTACCCAGAGAAACAGAAGATTCTTTACTTGATAATGCTTTTGTTATACAGACATATCAGTAAATCAGCACACGTCAGGTGATCAATTTTATGTCTATCTACCTGTTTATCCATCCCATTTCCATAGGTGTGTGTCTGTATTAGAATCTTGCTTTTCAAGAGCTAAATTCTGCCTCTTMATGTCAAAAGCAGATATAACACACTCTAAGCAGGGGAGTGTAATGCAGGAAATAGTTAGAAAGGGAAAATTAAAATACTGAAGGGAATTTGTGTCTGGTGTTAATTTTTGGCTGAAGGAATATACTTGTTTCCTTTTTTTTTTTTTTTTGTTTTTTTTGTTTATAATACATGCATAATGAAACTGTTTGCACAAATACTTTATTAATTTTCCACTAATTACTTTAAGTAAGGTATAATTAACAAAGAAATTTCCTAGAAATATAAAAAATATCCCCTCCCCAATATACACAGAAATAAATAGGGGAAACCAATTTATTTTTAACAAACACCATTTGAGGAAAAATTATATAGATTAATAAAATTTGAAGAGGGATAAGTACTAAGAAAGCTTTGTAGTTCGTGGCAACACTCATACAAACCTGAATTCGGAGTAGGAGTCTTCTGTTAGCATGCTCTAATTTCTTCTGCCTGTGTTCTAATTCTCTGGCTCTCTGTTGTTCTTTTTGTAGCCACTTGATGTACTCCACCGATGCTTTTAAAATAGTTCCTTTGTTCCAGCGCATATCACTGCAGAATGTAGAGATAACCTTTTCACAATTGTGCATGTCAGCAGAATTCATAAGAACTTACAAAATCTTTTACATTAATATGAAATAATGATTTACATGACTATTATTCACTCTTAGATATTATTGCTTCTGAATGGAAATTTTAATAGAATAGTTAAGAAGCCCTTATATAGTAAAATTAATCCCAGAATGAAAATAAGTGTCAAAAGAAAGTAATAAAGTGACTTTTTGTGGGAGAGCTAAATGCAATATCATGATTCTACCATTACAGTTTTTATATTTTTAGTGAAAATTGCTTTTATTATTAACTCTAAGATTAAAATCTATGTGCAGTATTTCTGCATTAATGAACTAGGAAATATACATTACTGAGGACTTAAGCCTAAATTTTTAAAGATCATTTTGAATATACTACTCCTTTTACCTGACTTACTAATGAGGTTGCTTTTATGCTTGTAGAGAAAAAAATTATCTGTSCTGAATGCCACTCCTTATTGATGACAGAATGAGGAGTGGCATTCAGAGACTAGAAAAATCACATTTTCATAACTGTAATGACTAGGGAATAACAAAAATCATGTTCAAAAATCTTGAAACAATATAAATTCCAAATTAAAATCTACAGCTATACACAGACCCCAACTCAAAATAAAAGCTTTGCAAAAAAATAAGATTAAACCTGCCCATTATTCAGGAAATAATGGTTTTTCTTCCATCTTACAAGCAGCCTTMCTAGCAATGAAACACTTGTCCAAAYGCATCTGTCCAAAGAGTTTTATGCATCCATTTATCAAGTTTTTATGTATTACTTTAAAAAAGGTCTTGGAACAAGAATTAATTTTGTTGAAAATGTGTAATTTCTAATAAATTTCAGTATTTTATGATACAGGATGGATTCACTGCGTTAAAAGTACAAATATACGGTTTTATCCAAACTATCCACTTCACTGCAAGATTGCTTATGCTGAACAGATGGCTGGCCGAGCTTCTGGTCCCGTATCACAACCCTGAGAAGGAAAAGTTATTCAAACAAGTAAGAATCTGATGTTGGGAGGGGAAAGCTTTKTTTTTTTATACCTATTCCAAAGACTTATATTTACACACTGTTATTTATGGAGCCAAAAGAAACATAAATTATTCTACAGGCTACTACCTGTTTCCCTTATTTATAGAATCATAGAATATGCTGAGTTGGAAGGTACCAATCAGGATTAGTGAGTCCAGCTCCTGGCCCTGCACAGGAYACATCAAGAGTCACCCCAGCTCCCTGAGAACATTTTCCAAACACTTTTTGAGCTCTGTCAGGCTTGGTGCTGTGACCACCTCCCTGCAGAGCCTGTTCCAGTGATCAGCTACTGCTGGGTGAGAACCTTTTTCTGATATCCAGCCTAAACCTCCCCCAGCTCAGTCTCATGTCATTTCTTTGAGTCCTGTCACTGGTCACAAGATTGGTACCTGCCCCTTCACTTCCCTTCATGAAGCTAAGCACCCGTAAAGATTTCTACAGTTATTTTACTTCTAAGTGTAAAGTGCAAAAGACAAGAGGGTACAGGACCCAGACCACCCAGCTTTTCCTGATGCTTCACGAAGGATAAAACATTATGGAGCTGATGCCTTTAAGACACTAAGAAGAAAACACAAAATATTTGTGATAAAGCATCACAGGGTTTAACCATACCACAGAATTAAGATAATTTGCTAGAGATTTGTGAGTAACTTTTTTTTTGATCCAAGAGTGCCCAAATTCAAGTGTCTGTTCTCTCTGGGCAACACACAAACTGTGGGGCTCCAGCACACTGGGACCTCCCTTCGTCTCAGTGCTCTGAGCCAGGAATACAGAGCTTTGGGGATTACAAGGTGAGGAAGTCAGAAAGAAAATTATTATTGTCTACAACCCTATTGTCTACAAAACCAAAACATAGGTGGGTGTGTGTCTGATTTAGACATTGCCTGGTCAAAAAAGCTACAGCAAAGGTGGGACTTGGAGACCAGAGCAGAATATATCTCCCTCATGATATCTGAATCATCTCTTGGCAATTCTCTGCCCTSTGTCTCCTCTCTCTGTATATCTTGTCCTGGTGGGAGAAGAGAACATTTTCCTACAGCATCCCATGGGCTCCCTCCTAGGACGGGACTTTCTCCTCTCAAATGTTTTACCTATGTTCAAACAGTAAAGGTTAAGGAAGCTTTTACTATGCATAATGCGTATTTTATGGACAAACCTTTGACTGCMATCACCATGTTGCATTCATTTTCTTCAGACCTCTTTGGAAAGTTAGGTAAAATACTGAAAGGCCCCTGTTAATGACTGAATGGCAGTGYAGTTTGAAAGGCAGCAAAGTGTCTGTCTCTCTCTGCCAGAGCACTMATAAATAAAGCTAAACAAAATAACTAAAGTAAGCAGGACAAGAATCTTTCAAACTGGGAATCTCCACTACCATGTCAGATATGAGCAGTATATGCTATATGGAGAAACACAAACTGCCTTGTCAAGGAGGTTGCCCTCTAATAAGTACCAAAACCAAAACTAAGACAGTTTTGGACTGATGGTCCAAACCTAACGATATATGGTACTATGAAATTAGAAAAACATCCATAGCTGAAAAAATGGAAATAATTAAAGAAATGTAACAGCAGCAGAAAATTTTGAATATATTAAATATTCAGAAAATATTTCATAGAGTTTTTACAAAAAGTGTAATGTTGATTATAATTTTTTTTTAATTCAAACTCAACCAAAATTTGGTTGATTTTTCTGAATGATGTAAGAATAAGTCATATATTCATGACTGCATTTGGAATATTTTTTTATGAAATTCATTCATGCTACATTTTTTACACATAATATCACTTTGCAATATTGCTTACTTTTAATTCATGTTTTCATGGTAGTTTTAGTTTTTGTTTCTATGGTAATGATTTCTTTTCATAGTTTTAAATAAATCTTCACTGGAAGACTAATTCCTGGATTGAAACTGCCACAGAGAGATGGATCTGGTTAGCTTCTGTGTGAGATACATATGGACAGATATCTGTTGTGGCAATATTTACAGATCTGAGAGGCAAAACTGTTATGGAGAGCTAGGATAAAAATGCAGCAGTGTTGCTGGTATTATTAAGGAGATCGTGCTTTAACCTGTGTATGTGTGCATGTGTGTCTGTGCATRAGTGTGTATCCAGCGCCTCTCTTCTACATCTCTTCTCATATGTACAAATCCTGGTTGGTGTCTTATTAAATGAGGAATATTGAAGTTAAACCTTCCTGTGTCTGAAGGTGACACAACAAAGGAGCAGCCGGTGACCTTAGAAATCAACATGTATTTCACTTCACACCTTTCTTTGCCAGAATCTGAAGAAAATACTGAAGATGTCAGTGCAGACATGCACTGCATGGCAGSCATCCCTCACTCCTTCAAGCCCAGAGAACCACACAGCAGTCACAGGACATTGCTGTGGGACAGCAGAGGCTCTGTGCAGATGTGCAGGGCTGGAAGAGTCACAGCACAGCTGGTGGGGTGAAGGCAAACTGGGCAGGTACAGGTGAAGTTCCTGAGGACCAACACTGCAGTGCATCTAGCTCTGCTTAGAAGGCAGGAAAGCAGATTCATCTATGATGGGAATAAAAACCAACTCAGCCTYTGAAAATGGGTTAACTCAAAGCACAAATGCATAAGAAGAATTCAGAGATTGTTTTACCATTTATTGGGTTTCTGTTATTTCTCCGAAAACAATGAATTCTAAATTGRGTGTAAATAAAGCTATCTGAAAAGTTATAAAAATGTCACTATGAAATTACAGGTTTTGTTTCTTCGAGATTTATAGATTGTGCTCATATATAATATAGAAAAAAATTGAACTGAAGAGGCCTACAAACCCATTTGAGAACCTTAAAAACCWGAGGAATCACTGGCAGTTGTTACTCATTGAATTGGAAACTACTTCATAAAAACAGACAAAATACTTGTGCTCTTAACTATTTTGATCCTAAAAACTCAGATATAGATCTGCTCTTCAGATATAGCAGGAATTAAGTTTTTCATTTTGATCTTCCAATTCTATTAATTTGTTTCTGTTCATTTTTATTTTTGTTTTGTTTTGTTTTATTTTGCCTTTGTTTTTCTTAATCTTGATTTTTATTARATGCATGTATGACACCATCCTGAAAATATAAAATACAAGGGAATTTCTACATCCAAACCAAGTCATTTGAGAGTGGTAACATGTTTTGCATGTTTGATCATCAGTAGTGACCTCTCAAAGGAGGATTGCTCCTTTTTCTTCTCTGTTTTCATATAGTGAAGTAATTTTAAGTTTTTAGAAAGCTACAGATGTGTTAGTGRGTTTAATTTACAGAGGTCTACCAAAAATAACTAGATTTGCATGGAAAATTGAAAAAAAGTAAGTAAAAAACACATTATGATTTGTTAGTCTCTGAATCCTTTCTCCTCCTAACTTATACATTTGAATCTCTCCACAAAACTCAAATGCCCAGAACAAAAAATGCAACTCTCACCAAGTTCTCCATTTTGGAGCAATTAAAAACAGAAAAGAGACTGATCTTCAGCTTATCTCCATTAATTTAACTTTTTTGAAGTCAAAGGAGCTTCACTAGTTTACAGAAGTTGAATTCCTGTATCAAGGACAGGAGCATTTGCTTATTTAAGATTAGAACTAATTAACAAAAGCAGTATTTGAGAGAGTGTGATAGTTACAAAGTTTGCCAGACACAGGCCATTTACTAACAACAAATACATTTGAGAAGCTGGAACTATGTTTGCAGACCATTTCTTTCCCTGTTTCTGAGAAATTATCTGTAAACTAAAGAAATTTGCTCTAAGAAATTGTTAGGAGGACTTTGCCCTTGTTTTGGGGACTTGCACAATTGCAAAGTACATTATTCTGAAAGAGGCAGCAATTTTCCACTTCACAATAGCATGAGTGTGCACAAGCTTTTCCTTTGTAAGAAATGTGTCYGTGCTGGCTGTGAGAGGGGCTGTCCCCAGGCAGCAGAGAGGTCAGGCACAGGTAGATTCAGAGAGCAGAGAGGGGACAGTGACAGCAACCCACTGCTTCTGCCCAAATCCTCAGCAGCTCTCTCAACATCCCAGTTCTGTAAAATGACTAGAATCCTTGAAGGAAGGGGTTTTTTTCTTGAAGGAAGGGGGCAATTCAAGTCCAGCTACAAGTAAACTGTTCTTTCTGGCATTCCCAGGCTCCATCACAATAAGAAGTCCTTCACAATAAGAAATGGAAAGTGGGGTATAATTAAAGGAGCACGTTAGGAGTTTTTCAGCAAAATATGACTGAGTATTTCTGGCATTTTTAAAATTCTATTTTTGAATTATTCTGTAAAACTGATTTGCATTTCTGAATAATCTAGCACTTGGATATCTAGGCATTGAAGATTAAACAAAAGAGTCATAGTTCTTTGTAACTTATCTTCATTTTCTAATGCTGATGAAGTGAACTTAAAACACCCATTCATTTATACAATGTAATCCACACTTTTCATCATTAAATTAGAGAAAAAGAAAAAAAAAAGTGGAAAGAATAGGGGTTTAATCCAGCAAAAGAAAGTCCCTGTGGAAGCTCTGCAGGAGCCAAACAAGTTCACAACGTAACTAACAAAACAAAAGTGAAATAAAAACCCCGCACAGCACTTCTAAGAAATATAAATCACAAAAGGTTTCCAAATGGCATAAAAAATGTCCTTTTCTGTTCCTGATTCTGAATGTAATCTTCTTGAAGCAAGCCATCTGGGACAGGCATGCTAACCACAATGGCTTAGTTAGAGCAGTATTTGCTCTTTGGTGCAAAGGCTGATTTTCTTCACTGTCATTAGTATAAGCATCAGTAAGCTTTCTCCCTTTACAGCTAAGTTTCCTCTATAAGAAGAATCTTCTAAATCAATATGAGGCAAAAATGCTAYGTGTGATAAAATGTTGCAGATAAGGTATTGTAAACCATGATAAATCTCTTTCTTTCAAAGAAGAGGGGGCAGATTGGGGGCACAGTAAGGTGTTATGAAGAAAAAAAACAAGAACTGAAAGAGAGAATAAGGACACTGAGTTATGAATTGGCAACACAAGACTATATCAAAAGGTAATAATTTTGATCTCATCAGCCAACAAAACAACATGTTCAAATTAATATCTTTCCACCTAAAAATACAAATACAAAAAAAAATTGCTTACACTTCTTTGAATTAATCTATCCTGGCACTAAGCTGTAGCAAAGTTATGTTTCAACCTGGTTTTTCAAAAACCCTGCATGTTTTGATGCCTTTTTTTTTCTTAACACCAACTTAAAAGCTTTTAAGTAGGCCTGCTATCCAGAGGAGTACTGATTATCAGCCTTTTGAAGACAACAGTCTTCAGAATGTGAGGTACTTAGGTTCACCTTGTGCTTTTGTAAACAAAACCACTCGGGCTCTGGTTACGCTGTTGAACTCAGTCATGGGTTTGCAAACTAAAACAAGATAAGGCAATGACTTCAGAATCTATACCTGAAACTTTTTCATCAGGCAACACCAAAATCTGAGGGTAAAGTCCACCATCCACTAACTCAAGTAAAAATGCAGGTCCAGATAAATAATTTTAAGAAAAGCTTAAATGATTGCTCTAGGTATTAATGTTTTGATTAAGTTCACAAAGTAAACCTAAATCCAGACCAAAACATGAGAGACACCTCTGTAGGCAATCAAAAATTGCAACTGGAATTTGTACCCTATGCCTATCTCTAATTGCAGTGTAACCAGCTTCTATTTTTGCTTTAGAGCTGCAAACCAACAGTGCCATCCACTGTTTTTCTGAGAAATCTTTCAATTACTTGCCCAAATAGTATGGAATACTGAAAGATGCACCAGCAAAATTTWAAAAAAAACTCCTATCAGTCTCTGCTTCCAACAGATCACATGGCCAAAATTTTATTTAGGTGCTTAAAGCACTTTTTATTTTAACTCAGCTATAACACCTAATTCCATATTAATAATAAAAACATACCCATTTATCCAGTCTTGGGGGGATGCTATGCAAGGAACTGAGTTTGTGAATTCTCTGAAATAGATCCAGTATGTTAACTTTCTCTCTGGTAATTTCACTCCAAATAAAGCCGAACTTGTACTTATGTAAGTCTCACACAGCTTTACATTGATGCAGAAATACCTAATGTAATCAAAAGATTGCTAGTCCTAAGGTAAAAAAAAAGCTGAAATATCAATAGATGTTTCCATTTAAATTATCATGTAATTCTGTATTGGCATGCAAATGATAAAGAAAAAACTGTGTAATCAATTTTATGCAAGTCACAATCATTCTGGTGCATTGTCTTAAGTCTTCCCTGCGTGACAAAAGAAACTTAAGGCTGAAGTTCAGCACTAAAAATCACTCTGAATTGTTATTGCTAATCCTGCAATGGGGTTTTCCACAAGGCAGCTTTTTCCTGTTGATGACAAATACAAGCTTTAAGGGAATGCACATATAGTTCAAGCAATACGCATTCTGTGTTTCTGTGAGTATATGCATTAGTATAGAATGATATTATTATAGCAATTATAGCAATTATTACTTTTATCCTTGCATTTTAGGAGTGGTGCKTTCTCTGCACTGAGTTGAGGACTTYTGAAAAATRCTCAGACTACAGACTCTTAAATTGATGGTTTTTTCCCCTTAGTCAAAGGGCAGACAGTGACAACGTAAATTTTGTGTTATCCCACTAGAGGGCCATGGCAAGAGCTGAAAGCATTACTCCTTCCTTCTCCAGAGACACCACACAATTGTGCTCAGGTAAGTGATACAGACTTTCTGTTGTTTGGCTAATCTTTTTTCTTCTTCKTTTTTTAATTTAGTTTGGGTTTAGTTTGTTTGTTTTCCCTCTAAGTGGCAGTCACTCCTAAACACCCTAAAATTGCTTTCACATATTATTATGCTTCCACATCAGTTTTTCCAACAGGCACGAATAATCTGTCACTTTAACAGCCTGACCTAAGCCAGTGACCTGGCATGGAAGATTTTGCATCCCATTACTCAATCCTAYAGCCAGTATACACAATTGTCTCTTTTTTTCCTGTATTTATGCTATAAACATTATTATAGGAAAGACAGTTGAACTCACGGATCATTAGACTTGGGGATGAGTGTTCCAAGCTCCTTGATTCGGTAATTAATATTATACCTTCTTCTTCTCTCAACTGTTAAAAAAGAAACAGTTACTATTTTTATGGCAAAATATTCCTGGAGAAATTCAAAATAAAACATTTTAATTAGTTAAAAACCAAGTTAGTCAATATACAGAAAATGTCTTYCTCAAATAACAGTCCCAACATGAACTCCTACCTGTCTCTGACTTACTCTCAGGACAAGTTCTATGATTAGTACCTTCTGTATCTTACCTTAACCACAGATTTTTTCCCCATTTACAGTCAGATTTCTAGAGAATGCAACAGTCACATATTGTCTAAATGTGAGCTAGCACATCCTTTTCCCTGCTGTTTATGCATTCTTTCTCCACTCTGCACCCACAAAACAAAGATTGCAGTTTAGTGGAGTTTTGMTGGTGATTTCAACAGGGATACAAGATAATTCATCCAGCAACTGATATTTTGGCAGAACAGCTGTTAGAGATCACAGGTAACAGCTTCACTATCCCTTACTCACAATTACCAGACATTTATAACCACAGAGCGAACGTAACTACACCCATATCCCCTCACTGAAGCAGGGCAAGATTGTGTCAGAAACAGTTCATTCCCATTACATCTATTTCCTTTGATGATGGACAGCACAAACATATTTACAATTATTTTTAAAACACAGATTTTTTTTAAAAAAACATGGTTTAAACAATGAAATATATTTTCTGGCTTTAAATTTATGCTTCTCCTAAGACAAGCTGTGTAAGGTATCTTGTTCAACTTTGTAACTTAGTTAGAAAGGAAAAAAGAAAAAATTAATCTCTTTAAATTAGTGCCCCCTCTCCGTGTTCTCAGTTCACTTTGCCAGCATCATACTGATATTTGGGTTGGTGTATGCGATCCTTCAGAAACTTCATGTTTTTCTAGTGGATAGGTCCAGAGGACATCTCATTGCTTTAGGGAATTACTCATATATAATTTTACACAGTAAGTGCATTCAGTGAGAATGTAGTCCCATTGGGGTTCTCCTGTCAGAGACCAGCAGTCTCTAATGGTGTTTCTGCTGGTGTGAACGCATGATTTTGTCCACTCCCTCCATTTTAAATCAATCCAAACCTCACTGAATAATCAGGATTCAGCTTTGGTCCATCCTTAACATCACACTGAGCTCCTTGTCCTTTGCATCTTGGAAGGACAAGGCTTTACCTTGGGCTGAATATGCTAATACCACTGTCAGACCAGCCCTGGCCAACCTAGAACATGGGTAGAATGCATACATGCTCTGTGTTTGGAGATATTCACTTATAATTAATGTCCTAATTTTGAATATAAATACTAAAAGACCAGTAGAGTTAAGCTACAAGCGTGCAGCCAAGGACATCCTCGGGGCAGGGGGGTCTTCCAAGGCTGACTTCAAACTTCTCATAATCATATGAGAAGGTCACTTTCAGTCTCAGCCCCACCCCCTTTAGTCCTCTTTTTTCTCTCTATTAAAGGGTTTTCTTGCTGTCTGTGTGAGGCTCCTAGGTTCGTGCAGCTGTCAGTTATTTCCTCCCTGGCAGATCCAAGTTCTGGGAACAACTGTAATGTTTTTATTTACTCTGATGAAGTTATTATTTACTCTTTGTGGGATGTATTGTCTTGCTTTCTGTAGAAATGGGAGTTTCGCTCAACAAACTAGAGCATCTCAGGTTTTTTGGTCATGATTCCCATATTCAGAAGACAGGGTTATAATTCTCCTGAGTGTAATGCTAAGTGAACCYCTGCATCCCATTGGAGTGAATGTGCTGGATTTTGTAGGACAGCACACCGTACAAAAGCACAAAGCAACTGAAAAWTTTAAAAGATGTATTTCAGTTGTGTTGGCAAAATAATGGCATGGCAAACAAAATTAAAGAATAWGCTTTAACGATACTGTCCTAGGTGTTGTTTAATTAATATTTACACTGTGGAAAACTCTGCAAGATATTTGTCAAAAAGTAGTCAACTAAACATTAGCTATAAAACAAGGCAAAGTTATCTTTACAAATCGACACAGAATCTTTTCTCGTTATATTTTTAATTTTTTTTTTACTGAAAAGAAATATCCAATGGTTGTGTTAATGAGTTAGGGGGAAATYTTAAGCTTGAAAACATGTCTCAATAGAACTTTCCTGATGTACATCTCTAACAGTTGAAATGATATTCTGAATTATCAGTAATATTTGAAGCATCAAATTATATATAAGCCAAGTCAGAAAATGATTTTTCAAACCACATGGACAGGATGAGGATGTAATATTCTTTGTTTGGAAGAAAAAAAAAACCTAAGTCAAAAAATATTAACTAATGTTTTAAACTCTGTCTGTTACATGAAGAGGTTCAATTTCTTACATCTAAATCTGTTTTCATTGTGTMATTCAGTATATAACCTTTCAAAAGGCACTTGTTTTCCAGTGCCTTCATGCCTTATTGTTATGACAATGTGCAAGAACATTTCCGTAAAATGTGACCTTAATTTCACCYGAAAATTAAATTTGCATAATTCCAATCAAGTTGGAAAACCCAAACTGATTTTTCAGACTACCACTAAAAAACTTGATCCTCATAAAGGTGTAAATCACATTAATAAAGCCTTTATATGCAATGYTTTATTATGCCCAAGCCATTAGATGGTAGAGCTATCTCCAGAGAGACTTTGAGCCCTGTAGAACACACCTTGAGCCCGGCCAAAACAGATGCTGCCTGTCTGCAGTATCTTTAGGGCTACAGCCTTCAGTTTAGTTGCCAGCRGTGAGGGAAAGTTCTCAGACATTTCTCCCCAATGTATGTATGAGCCTCTYGTTCCCCTTGTAGCTCCAGATAACTCCAACCCACCCTATTTCCTACTCCATCTAAATTTCCCATTCCTGCCCTAAAAAGACAGGCAGCAGCTGCATTGGCATTTCAGAGACTATGTGCTAGCAACATATCTAAAAATCTTCATAGTCTGTCTATAATCCACAAAAAAAATTGCAGACAGGCATAAGGATGCCTTCTGGAAATTCTAAGTAGCAGAAAATTGTCTACAGTGATTGCTAGCACATTGTACCCATGTATGCATACTTTCAGGTATGTAATTTCATGAAAGTAAAGCCATAAATCCCTCTAAGATTACTGGAATAGCCAGAGAAACAAGATATAAATAAGAGGGAAAAAAAATACAAAAAATGTCTCTTAACTAATTACCAATTTATGTTTAAATTCATAGATTTATAGAATATCTCAAGTTGGAAGTGATTCATAAGGATCATTGAATCCAACTCTCATACTCTTTCTGTTGGAAGAAATGGAAAGGAACACTTGAAAATGTAACTGCTCGATTCAAAACTTTCCAAAAAGAATCCTTCATRCTTTTTGCTTCAAATTATGCTTTAGAGGGAAAAATTGTGTAGTTTTATAGGCAGTCTTCTCCCAGTAATGAAGCTGATTTTTTTTTCTGTTCTATACAAACAAACATGTTTCTTATTATTATAAGTCTAATATTCAGACACTGAACTATGAGTTTCACTACACTCTAAGATTATTCCTCTAGAACCAACATGCTGAACATCTGTGCATAGCTGCAGTGCTCTTCATCAAGGAAAGTGCATCCTGCATGACAGAGGTTACGCAGCGTGTGCAGCAAAGCCAGAACACTGGTGAGTCTCACTCAGTCCTGCACTGATCTCCTTTGGTGACAAAATATTTCCATAATTTCAAGAGCTTGGCAACCACTTAGAAGTTTTCTGGTATCCTCTGCAAATTTTTTTCCCTCCCCATCACCCATAGAGAGATACAGCCTCTTGCTTGAGTGCTTCAGTAAATATGTGTGAAGACTGGATTTTCACTGGTTTTTTTCTCATCATCTGCCTCCTGTCTTGTATGCTTCACACTGTAATTCTTATAGACAACATCAAGTGTGCTACTGTAAAAAAGATAATAGCAGGAGATGATATGGAAATAAATTAATTGCAATATGTAAAGTATTTTGAAAGACAAAAGAGAAAGAAATTAATTTCAAGAAAGAAAGCTTTGTGGTTGGCTGTGCTTGCAATCTGAGTTCAATTTTATTAGCCTGGCAAGAAGCTGATCTAGAAGAAGAACAGAGATGTGGCAGCTAATGTATAATGTTTTTGCATTCTCCATACATTCCATTTAATGAGATGGAAGATGAACACATACTTACTGAGATTGTGGTTATCCTTCTTTTGTCTCTCCTTTGCCATTGCTCTTGTATCTGCTTCTGACAGAAAGTAACATTTATTAAAATAGTCCTTAAGATGCAATTCCAGTACTTCTTTCATCTTTTGAAAATAGYCTCTTGTCACAAAGAGCAGACTTCCAGTCTTTTTACTACATTACTATTTTTATTATTAAAGCAGATCATAGGTAAATCTATATTCTACCAGTACTAAATTTTCATCAAGTCTGTCAGGCTGCTTAAGATATTTTCATTGCACATTTTTTTATTTAAGAACATAGAAATGCCATGGAGGGGTATTTTTCTCCAATTTGCTGTATTTTACATCAGGATAAACTTACAGTACACTATGAATATGGATTTTCTATATCCCATAATGTAAGAGTTAATCAGATTTGTAAGATGTTGAATAAACTCACTGTTTCTTCTGAGTGACACTAATAAACTGTACACAATTTTTAGCATTCTTTGGATTAATTGAATGTAACTTTTAAAGTTGTTAATCCACTMATATAGCTTTACCTTGAATAGCCTTATTGTAAAATTTTGAAAGAACTATTTGTTCTACCCTGTAACAAATTTAATGGATGATGATTTATTTATATTGTTGGTCAGGAGCCAACATGTGGAAGCATATATTATGTTTTCTAAAATATTAAGGTTTTTTAGCATGATGCTCATAAAAAACAGGGGGCAAACATGGCTTCTGAATTGCTAAAGAGAAGAACAGAAAGAAAACATTTCTCCTTGATCTCTCTTATTTTCCTTGAAGGAAACTTCGAACTGCAAAATTCTCAGGAATTTAGTTATGGAAACTTTTTTTCATGGATAAGATTTATTCAGCTTTAAAGAGACACACCATCAGTTATGCAGTTATGTGATAAAATTTCAGAGTTCTTTTACCTGTGAGCTCCCTTTTTACTGGTAGATTAGCTGGGCAAGAAGCATTTGTGAGACCCATATTAGCTGGTGCCATTCCCTGGTCACTGTTATATATGTCCAAAATGCTGCTAGATAGCTTGAGGGGAAGARAAGAAGAASAAGAAAAAAATTAAAATCAGTTAAAAGATTTTAAAAACCCGACATTCATGTGAGGAGCAATCATCTTTGGATATGAGCCTGGTGTTCTTTAGAAGGAATATATGCACATATCTCGAAAGGGAAAGTTTAATCTCACACAACATTCAGTAAAATTGAAAGCAAAGGGTCACTGTCATTTTTCCATGAGTACGATTTGTGGCAAAATATGGGCCTCAGTGTAGGCTTTCCAATTGCTTCTACAGCTTATTTTCTAAAACCGGGTTTGCCATGACTGCATTTCAAATATACATTAGGTTTTAAGTCAAAATGACCTTGCTGATTTTTACCATATTGCCCAGTACGATTTTTTGACCACAGCTCTGAATTGGTACTTCATATAGGGCCTGGTTTAGAAGTATAAAGATTCAGGGACCTTGTTATATGCAAAAGTTAAAAATAGAGTGGCCAGAACATCAGAGAATATACTTGAAGGACAGGAACTGTACTGTTGTCAGGATAAACCAGATAACCTAATGGTTTTAATATGCATGACATATAACCATGCATACCAGTATCCTTCTCACCTTAAAAAAATTAATTATTTAAATAAGCTCAGAGAATGCACTCAGAGAGAAGCAAGGCTAAAATATGTGGATTCTGGGCAATTGCACAAATATTACCTTTACCTGAATAGCTTTGCATTTACAAAATAAGTGTAAAATGTGTAAAAGTTTACTAAAGATCAGTTCAGGCTTTGCTCAGYTTCTATGACCCTGTGATCAGCCTTTCAGCATTGGTCTTTTGCAGTAAAGGCAACACATTTTTTTGTTTTATCATACATATAAAATTAGAGCTGACATCTTTGGGAGGTTTCTTTGCAGCCAACACACAAGGACTTAGCAACTGAGTTTGGGTCCATATGGCCAAGTTAACAGAAAAAAACAAACCAAAAGAGAACAAAAGAAAAGCACCAAAAAGAAACCCCATCATTTTTTTTAAATCAGTGAAAAAATGTGGATACAACCACTGACTTGAGACAGAAGAGCATTAAAGGAAATTAGTAATTATTTAAGAAAATGGTTTTCCATTGACAAGAAAATGTGGTTTTGCATATTTGCCCTGCATCTATGAATCCTGAAACAACATGGAACATTTCCATACAGGTTGCCGAGACACCAACCACAGGTCTGCTGGGAACCAGCTTTGTTTTAGACTCTTATAATTTCTCTTTTTGTAGAGACTGTGACCTTCAGCACAACTTACTTTGAATGTAGCAAATTTCCCAATTACTCGCTCAGTGTGAAATTGTTTCATGGCAGTGTTTCCTATATTTTATGTTAAATCTGAAATTTTGAATTAGTTTTACTTTTAAATAATGATTTTTTAAAAATCAGCTAATAACTGTACTAGATCATCCAAGAACCTAGTTTGAGCTAAATGTTCACAGTTCCATTACCTACAAGGAAATGAAGCAATCAGAATTCTTCTTTAACACATATAAATGACATGCTCATTTTTAAAGTAGAGCTTTATTAGTTAGGAAAACTGATAATTCTTTCTGAATACCATCAGAAATCACAGCACCAAGTCAGTTTTGAAAATCTGCTTACATATTTGATCTCTCAATGAAAATACCTTTTAAAAGAATGTTTGGAATTCAGATGAGTATTACTCAGAACAAGCTCTGTTTAATATGCAGGATTTGACTAAGAGTATTCGCACGTTAAGTACCTTTGTTTCATTCGAGGGGTAAATTGACAAGTATTACAGAATTCACTGCAGTTTTACCTTTGCCATTTTCTTTGTTCCAGTGATAGGGTAACTAAATTACAAGAGTGAACTCATATTAGCTCTAGACATATTTCATTACCTCCTAAATTATTGTAAATTAATTTGTCAATTGAAACAATATGAAAACAGAATAACATAAAAAATTGAGAGTCAATGTGACTCCTACACTTATTCCAGTGGACTTTGGTGAGCTGTGATATGATTTAGGCTACTGCTTTTGGGAAATGCTAGGAAACAGTAACCACTGAAAATTATATAATTTAATAAATAATTAACAAATGAGAAATGCATACCTGTCATACTTTACATATTTCACACAGCTGTGTTCATAAGTTCAATAATTTGTATGAAACTGATGGCAATTTTCAGTTTATTAAATTATCAATGCCATTAATGGAAAAAACAGGCTTGTACACCACAGTTTGATACAAATTTGAGAGACTTAATTGTTTACTTCTAATTTTCAAACAATAAATCACATTTATCCTTGAAAGATAGTTAAACTCCTATAGTCTATGCACAAAGGTGTGAATTTTATGACTGTCAAAATCCAAGAGAAAAGTTGTCAAAAAATGGCCAGTTTAGTTGGTAATTACAAATTTATGCCAACACACCTGAAAGTTCAAAATTGTGTGAGCATTCAAAAGAATAAATACAACTCAAAATCACAGGGAGAAAATTCAGCTGAATTCAATTACACCTTTGGGGACGGCAATTCCATGTCACTATTGTTCAAAAGGTAAGAGTTCATGTACCTCCTTCCATCAGTAGGATCACCAGGGCAGTGACTGCAAGTATCTGTCCATGATCTATATCTGACTACAATAATGTTTTCATTAAGCTGCAAAAGGCTTGAAATATCACAGAATCATAGAATATCCTGAGTTGCAAGGGTAGGACATGGATCACTGAAGTCCTGCTCCTGGCCCTGCATTGGACAAGCCCAAGAGTCACAACACCATGTGCCTGAGAGCATTGTCCRAGTGTTTCTTGAGCTCTGTCAGGCTGGTGCTGTGACCATTTACCTGGGAGAGCCCCAGTTCCAGTGCCCAACCACCCTCTGGGTGGTGAACTTTTTTCTAATATCCAACCTAAAACTCCCCTGACACAACTTCACACCATTCCCTTGGGTCCTTCAGGTGGTTGCCAGGGAGAAGAGATCAGTGCCTGCCCTTCCTCTTCCTCTCACAACAAAGTTGTAGACTGTGATGAGGTCCCCCCCTCAGTCTCCTCCAGACCAAGTGACCAAGTGAACAGACCAAGTGACCTCAGCTGCTCCTCACAGTCCTCCCTTCTGGACTCTTCACCATGTATGGGCACCCTCCTTTGGACACTCTGATAGTTTTGTATCTTCCTACAATAATCACACAAAACTGCCCCCAGCACTGGAGGTGAGGCTGCCCCAGTGCAGAGCAGAGCAGGACAATCCCTTCCTTGCCCAGCTGGTGATGCTGTCACTGATGTCYCCCAGGTCCCTTTCTGCAGTGCTGCTTTCCAGCATTTCATTCTTCAGTCTGTATATTCATACAGGGCTGCTCCTTCCCAGGTGYAGAATCCAAGGCTTGTCTTTGTTAAACTTCACACAGTTACTGACTGTCCAGCCCTCTAATAAGTCTCTTTGCAGGACCTCTCTGCCAAATGTCCCATATCATCTTTATTGCGTGCATATCTTCTCCAGTATTTTTTCCCTGTCATTTCACATTTTTTTTCAGCCATTAGGAAAACAGAAAATTCCCAGGTAAAAGGAAATCATTTATCCTGCAGGTGTAATGAGGTATATTGGTTCACACATGTGTTGTTTTGAGAAGTCCTGGTAAGTCACGTAATTTCCAAACCTTGCATTCATGATACTTTTATTTATGTACATGTATCTGAGAATTTAGATGCAAGCAGCTCATAAGGAATGAGAACAAAAACATYAAAAAATAGGATAATATAATGCACCATCTTTCCAACTTCTGAAATACAGCCAGGTTTGGATGGAAGATCAACAACATTTAGCACAGCAAATGGTTAAGTGGGAATAACCAGTGACAATGTGGTACAGGAAGAGAACAATACCATATCTAATTAAAACTGCAAGGAGAATTAAAGAAAGCAGACTGTAATTAACGAAGTTAGCATTTGGCAAGGACATTGGGGTTAACATTCTTCCTTTTGTATAAAGTGTCATGGGATCTTCAATGCCTGTGTGCAAAGACTGGAACATGAGAATTTCCATTCATGGGCCTCAGTCCTGAAATACGCTCAACTTTGAAGCTTAGAGCAATTATAAAAGCAAACTTCAGCTGGACTACCTGACTGAATACACCTCACAAGAGCCTGTGACTTTGTGCTCACTGACAATGTCYAAGGGAAGTAGTATGAGAGATACTTCTCATCAAGAGAAGCTTGTTATGTTCAATATTTGGGTCTGAACTGCTATGCAGGCAGAATTGTGTACCAAATGCYAAGAGTTTGTCAACAGCATTGATGACTTGCAATGGACAGCTGAGATCACAATTTGCAGTCTCTTATATCAAGTTTGGGTTTTTTTTAAAGGAAAACATTACACGAAAGRCTTTGCCTTATTAAAGGAAATTATGTGATATTCCAAAACCTCTAGCATAATAGCTGTTGGTAAATACCATGTAATTTTAAGGAAGACTTAAACCAATAGCATTTCCATATCTTCCAAGAKAAGGATTCTGAATGCTCTAATGAAACATATGAATACATGTTGCCTGTGCCTGTTTACAGTCCCTAGATATCTCTATGTCACCACAGTGTTCATTTGCATAATCACATATTATTCAAGAATTTTTCCATTTTAGCTAATCTTTGCATGATGTTTTTGCCTTAGAGTAACATTCAAGTCTGTAAGAATCAGGGTTGTATCACAATCAGTATTGCACAGGTAGAAAATAGCAGTCCAACCCTTTCCCAAAGTCTCCTAGGATTTTCTTAGTTTAAGAATTCTGCTGAACATGCTAATGTCCAGTCTGGATGAGAATGCATTTCCAGGACATTGAGTTCAAYAAAATTAACACATTGTTAAATAATCTAGTTCATAAACCCATAGTGCTCTGTCTAAAATCAATTAGGTTTCACATCTCCAATACTTTTATTTGGACTACGTTTAAAGAGTTGACTGATTGAAATTATTTTCAAAAAGCTTATCTTCTACTTCCATTCATAGACAAATTTTATTTTCTTTTGTGTTCCTTT